GATCTTCCACGTAATGATCGTGAAAGAAGTATCAATGATTATAATCCGGTTATCCTAACAGCGTGGTGTTAGGCGAGAACCTCTGCTAGCTTGACTAGCAGAGATAACACCCTGCATTCCCTATTCCCACGGTACGGCAGCCCAGAAACTGATGACACATAGAAACATAAGAATCCGACGACTGGGCTGTTTCTTCGCGAACGAAACTGCGCAACATATTCATACATATAATAAAAAACCACACCCGGGCGGGCATTCTGCGCCAGGCGACTTCATAGCAAGGGTCACGATCGCTTAGTAGTTAGTTCTCGTGCGAGATTCGAACCATTATCCGAAACTCAGTTATTAATTCAATAAACCTAACGTGTGTGGAAGTGATACCGTGTAGTTTTAATTGCCTCCCTGAGTTGCGACGTAACAGTGGGAAGGAAATATGGATATTCAGTTTATCGGTGAAAAATCTACTCTGTTAAATTGGTATTGCACAAAGTATACTACCAAAACTGAATGCAGTGATGGTGTTAATACTTTTGATGTAATTAATAGTACGAAATCAATTCGTGCTTGTTTATGGAATATCGCGTTACGTACTTTGAACAATAGAGAATGCGGCGCCATCGAAGCAGCAGATGTTCTTTTAGGAATTCCATTGCATATTACTGATCCTCACACGACATTTCGATGGTTAGATGTAAACCAAATAAGAAATCGAAAACTAAAAACTCAAAGAGAAATTGAACGACTCGATTCTGATTCTACAGATATTTTTTGCCCTTCAATAATTGACAATTATTACCCTAATAGGCCTACAGAGTTAGAAACATGGAATTTGTATGATTTTGCTAGGTGGTATGATATTTCTAAAGTCAAAACGACTCGATGTACGCTTCAATTTTATGACTCAAATACCTGTTTGTATTTAAAGAAACGTGAACGTCCTTATTTAATTAATCATTATACGTACAAAAGAAGTATTAATCCAGAAAAGTACTACTATTCCCTGTTATTACTATTTAATCCGTGGAGACAGTTGGAGGAGTTGAAAGGGCGTTACGATACTTATGCAGAAGCATTTGCATCAAGTAAGACAGATATTATTAATGGTGTACAATATCATGAACGTTTGGAAGAACTTCAAGAGGCCTTCAATCATACCACAGAATTAATTAGTAAATATATTAAACAACAACAAGATAATGAGATTAAAGATTCCATTTCTTCTAATCAGATGGATCATCGTATACAGTATGAACCGCTTGAGGCCGCAGGAACGATGCAAGATTTCCGAGAGGTAGGCAATAAAGTTACCGATTGTCATCTTACGCAGTACATACACGAATTGAATATAGACCAAAAAAGAATTTTTGGTAACGTAACAAAAATGATTATTAACAAGTCGGATGGTTCGAGTCAACAAGTACTGCGTCTTTATGTCAGTGGAGAAGGAGGAACTGGAAAAAGCTTTTTGATTAAGACAATTCGTTGTTGGACAAAGGTACGGTTACAGAAAGATACAGCAGTAATAGCCCCTACTGCAGCAGCGTTTAATATCGACGGTTTAACGGTGCATCGATTATTTCAGCTTCCCGTGGAACATGGTCATACAGCACCATACAGACCTTTGTCTGACATGGCTCTGAAAACATTACGGGATGAGTTGAAAAATACTGTGCTATTTATAATAGATGAAGTGTCCATGATTTCCAACATCACATTAATATATATAAATATGAGACTAATGGAGGTATTTAATACCTTGGAAGACCAGAACGGATGGTTTGGTGGTAAACATATTCTGTTATTTGGCGATTTGTTACAGTTGCCACCAGTTCGCGAAGAACCAGCGTTTGTTAAGATTACAAATGTTAAAAATGAGAAATACTTGGGATCATTGGCAGTATCGAATTTGTGGGTAGATTTATTTCACTATGACGAACTATGCATAAATATGCGGCAAAGAGAAGACAATATTTACCGCGAGCTTCTATCGAGAGTTCGTTTTGGTGTTTTTACGGAACAAGATATTGCCACACTACAATCGAGGACAATTCCTTTTTACTCTGAACGTAGTGAAGACAGATTAAATGAATTATGCAATTATGTACAAAATTTGCCGTTTGACGCAATTTGTATATTTCCTACGCGTTACATGTGTGATGTATTTAACACAGCCATGCTTACAACAATTAACAGTGAAGAAGTGAAACTAGTGTCACGCGACACTCTTGACTGTGTTGCATATTTAAAGAAACGTGTGCACAAACTCTTAGATAAATACGAGGAGGATAATTCGCAAACAGCTGGCTTACATAGAATTATCACTGTCAAACTTGGTGCCAAGGTAATGTTAAGGCGTAATATAGATGTTACATTGGGCCTCGTAAACGGTACTATTGGAGAAATTGTTGGATTCTTACGAGCACCGGATAGCGAAGACATCAACACAGTGCAGTTTCGATTATCAACGGGTACTGTGCATTCGTTACAAAGAATTACTTCCAAGTTTGAAATAATGGATAAAGCCTATGTCTTTCGATATCAATTTCCAATATTTCTCAGTTATGGAATCACCATTCACAAATGCCAGGGATTAAGCGTAAAGACAGCTGTAGTCGATATATGTAATAGTATTTTCAGTTGCGGTCAGACTTACGTGGCTTTATCTCGAGTAACGACTTTAAACGGCGTGCATATAATTAATTTCGATCCGTGCATAGTGAAGGCAAATACATTGGTTATACAAGAATATAACAGATTGCGAAGTGTTTATAGGCCAGATTTAGCTGCACTGAAATGTAAACCGGTACGAAGACAGAAAATTCATGATGTACAATGGACTTCAATTTCCAAAACTCGTCCATTCTTTGTACCAGTACATACGGATAATGCGACAACAGTCCATGCAGATGTCTCGGTTAAAGGATTCATTAATGCTGACCACGTCTCTGGATATGCTAATATTATATTGCAATGTATAGTTTGCTGTGATAGTATGCGCCGAAAGTTATTGACACGTACAAGTTCAGATGCTATGAGAGCTGTAGCCCAAGCTTACGTAGGCACTGATGTACAGATACTTAACAATTTTGCTGTTACACAACATGCGGGTAGTACTTTCGTACAAGAAATTCCACAGGACGCATCTGAATTTTTCTTGCATGTTATAAATAGTTATACTGATATCCGAACGATTCTGAAACATGAGTTAACTCACACAATACGTTGTAAATGTTGCCATCAAACGTCTGTTAACACAGAGGACAATATAATTTTAACACTACCCTTATCTCAGGTGGAAGGAAACAGAATAACATTACAGGATATCATTAACACCTATTCGGAATGGAACACAGTGGATGATGCTGTATGTACTACGTGATATTACGACAGCTGAAAATGTTTTCATAATACAATTACCGCTATTTCACAATAAAAATGGTAAAATTGTGGACATTAAAAGACCTAACATCGTAGCCGCGCATACAGAAAGCATACACATTGCCCAAAATACATATAGGGCAACAAGCGCTGTATTGTATATTGATAGTAATAGTAAAGGCAAGAAACATTACACCCGCTATATAAAGCATTCAAAAAAGACGTTCGTATACATTGATGATGACACAATTCAATATAAGAAACAGTGGCCAAGAGGTGCAAAAGATGTATACATGATGTTCTTTGAAAAAAGTAACGTAGGAAACCATCCCATCGCTACAAAAATACACGACACTCAATGCTCCAGAGATTAATTCTAAATACATTTCATACATATAAAGTAATTGAAAAAATAAATATTAACCCACAAAAACTACATTACATGAACAAAAAAGGTAACGCCAAGTAGTTTAGGCATTATGAGCAGAGCACCTCTTTGCACTAATACACAATGCGTTTCAGTGTGGCCCTGAAAACGTCGTGATATCCCACAAAAAGTACATTACATGTAAAAAAAAGGTAACGCCAAGTAGTTTAGGCACTATATGGTACATATTTTGTGAATTTTCTAAAAAAGTAATGGATATCATGCAAAACCAGCCAAGTATTCAGTTATATATGTTTCTCAAATTATTTATACCTATTCAACAAAATTTGTTGTACGTTATTCCAAACCTGTGAATACATTATCGACTTTATTGGAGCGAAGTTCCTCTATTAAATGACTGATAGGCATTTTTTGTGACTTTTTAACTCAAAAACTGGATTATCAGTTCTGACCATTCTTTACAAGCTGATCACAGTGGTCACTATGAGTGTTTATATAGAATAAAATCAGAGATCGGTGGTGTCCTTCAGGAATGGTCACAGAAACCGATACCCAGGTTAAGGGGGTAAACGCAGGTAATGCAGACATGTGACATTCCCGGCAAAAATGGGCCTAAAAAGGGGTTTACGGGAAAACACTTTTCGTCCTTATATGAGAAGATTTGGGACTGGGTGAGGGTTCGTTCGAAAAAGGAAGGTCCAATTTTACGCAGGGCGCTATGGTCATGGTTCAACAAATTGTGTTGAATCGCAAGAAGGCAGCCAAACGCCAAGTATAAATAATTTGAAAAATATATATAACTGAATACTTGGCTGATTTTGCATGATATCCATTACCTTTTTAGAAAATTCACAAAATATGTACCATATAGTGCTTAAACTACTTGGCGTTACCTTTTTTTTACATGTAATGTACTTTTTGTGGGATATCACGACGTTTTCAGGGCCACACTGAAATGCATTGTGTATTAGTGCAAAAAGGTGCTCCGCTCATAATGCCTAAACTACTGGGCGTTACCTTTTTCTTACATGTCATGTACTTTTTGTGGGATTACATTATATCTAATGTAGATATAGTAATAATGATAATGTTATTAAATGTTTATTACGTATCTAATGTAGATATAGTAATAATGATATTGTTATCAAATGTATATAGGTTCTGTGGGAAGGAATCAGTATATTACATTATATGCAATGTAGGTATAGTAATAATAATTCCGTGCGGGGTTTCTGGTCCCCCATCGGACGCGTCCCCAGGTGGCGGATAGGGGAATGCTCGGCAGATATGCAGGGTAGTTGGGAAATAAAATACCGATCGCGGACCAAAAACCAGAACGTGAAATCCAGTACGCGTCTGTTCTCGTATCGAGCGGCGTGCTGGTCGGCGCCTTTTCCTCATGTCTGGGGCGGCCGTTTAATGCAGATATAACTTCCCGAAAAGGTTAAACCATCGAGAGACTACTTATCTGAAGAAAGTAGCATATTTATCTTCACCTGTGAGGATACACTAGAACCTGAAACAAGGAAAGGAAATTATCTGAATATACTTAGCTGATCGTGTATGTTTCCAGTTATGGTATTAATGGACGGCTTTAAAACTATATGACGAATACGGCTAGTCTTACTGGACAAATTCTATAAAATATTATGAATTATACACATAAAGGAGAGAAGCGTTACGGTGCAGGGGTACTGGGTAGCTCCAGTACCGGCTCGGCGGGAGGTGGGTGTACAGGCCCCCCCCCCCGAGTCGTTATCCAGCGGCTGTGCATCGCAGGTGGTGAACCGTCAGGCTTCTGCGATATAAACTGCTACTGGCGAAGAGGACGACTGTCGCAGCACTCATAGAGAGGAAGAAGTCTTTCTTGACAAACCTAGGGTTACACGAACTCCTCCTGAGAAATGGAATTCGAGAGACAAAGAAAAGGTGAGGATCGCAGGAGGTAAAGACGAAGAAGAGAAGGAACGAGTGATAATTGGTCGAAGTTCAAGGACAAAAGGCCACGAGGACGAAAAAGTGGGTAGGAAGATTAGCCTCGAGGAAAAGATGGAGATAGGTTTAGAAACCATGGCGAAGATTATAGAAGCGATCATAGATCATAACGCCATGATTAAGAATTTTATGTTGAAAAGTAAAGATGTTGTCCCTGAAATGAGGGATGCATCCATTACCATGGGATATTACCTAGAAAAAGTAGCGGAAACAATTGACCGTATGAGATTTGTAAACACTGAATACAAACAGAAAATGGTGAAAGAAGATGATGGTCAGAGTAAGAAAATCATGGGCATTCAGACAGAGCCTACATCACCAAGGATAGCTGCACTGACGCCGGGAAAGAAGAAACCTGTAAAGAAGAAAGACACCTGTAAAAACTTATCGACACAGACGAACCCAGAAATAGAAGTATCACTCACATTGGTGCCTGAATCAATGCTAAAAAGGAAGGACATTACTCCTCCAATAGAAAACGCAGGTAAAAAATCCAAAACTCAAGCAAGCGGCCGTGTACCACTAAGAAGAAATGACAGAAATAGTGCTACCGAGATATGCACACCTAGATCTGAAGAAATGACAGAGGCAACGGACTCTGAATGGGAAACGGTGCAACCGAGGAAGACAAAAACGGGAGCCGGGCGCGGAAAGGTCACCGAAAATAACCTGGAGGTAGAGGTAGGAAAAACTATTATTACGGCGAGAATGCGTAATACCCCCAGTAGGAAATTTAATAGACCGCTGGCGATTGCGGTGCGCTTTAAAAAGGATCTTTCTTTTGCAGGCGTCCTGAAAAGGGTTAAGGAGGCTGCTGGCCCCTCCCCTGAGAGTGTTAAACAAACCCGTGCAGGCAATCTCTTGATTGAGTTTACGCCGAACGCAGATTTAGAAGGCTTCAAGAAAGTTATTGATGGAAAACTGGGCCCGGATATTGAGGTAGCGCGCCTCCAGCAGAGGATGGATGTTGAGCTGAAGGGTATTGACCCTACAGCAGATAGAGATGAGATTATGGAGGCTATCAAACACGAGATAGGAAATGACGTGACGGAAATCAAACTGAAGGTTCTAAGGATAGACCCTAGGCAGAACAAAATTGCCATTATAGAGAGACCCGCAAACTTGATGATGAAATTAGTGAGGAAATCCAAAATAAAGATAGGATGGACTGTGGTATTTGTAAAAGAGATACCAAGGCTTCTTAGGTGTTTCCGGTGTCATGACTTCGGACACGTGGCGATAAATTGTAAAAACGCAAAAAGCGGTACAGGCTACTGCAGAAGATGCGGTAGTATCGAGCACCAGTTGCGAGAGTGTACGGCAAATCCCAGATGTAGATTGTGTCAGGAAGATAATTTACCGGAGGAGAGGCTAGCCCATGTTGCAGCCTCTGTTAGGTGCCAAAGATACAAGGAGGCCTTGAGACAGAAAAGACAAAATTAATATTTTGCAAATCAACTTGAACCACTGTAGGTCAGCAAATGACCTACTATAAAGGACTGTAGAAGAAGTGGAAGCGGATGTAGCGGTGATTACGGAACCATATGTTGTCCCGGACTACTGGTTCGCCGACGCGACTAAAAGAGCGGCAATCTGGGTCACTATACGCGGATTAAAAAATAGTAGGTGTATAACACCTATTGTGTCTGGAAAGGGCTTTGTGATTGTCCGGGTAGGAAACTTTTATATAGGTAGCTGCTGTGCATCGCCAAATTCCTCAATAAATGATTTTGAAGACTTTCTTGCGGCACTAGCCACATCTCTAACGGCCCTAAGGAAAGTAAAACTGATCATTACAGGAGATTTTAACGCGAAATCCCCGGTCTGGGGCTCGGATAGATGGTCGGAAAGAGGAAAAATATTGCAGCAATTTTGCGTAAACCTTGAATTGCTACCCACTATAACAAGAGGAGGTAATACTTGCGACAGGGGCGCAGGATCTAAAATCGACATTGTGTTATGTAATAGCGCTGCCCTAGAACTTTTGGAGGACAGCGAAGTGCTCTCTAAGTACTCCGCATCTGACCCCCGTTACCTTCGACATGTTTTCAGATTAAATAAAGGAAATAATGACGCACAAGAAAAATGCCCTTTTGTCTTGAGGAAGGGTCAAATAAACGCAAAAAAACTAGTTGACCTATTTATGGGACACTACGCGAACGAAAAGTTTGAAGGCTTACCCGTTGTAAATACACCTGAGGAGGTAGACCAATTTTTAGAGAAACTTAAAATTATGGCGGACAAGTGTACAAGTAAGGCAATACATTCGTCCAAGATAAAAATGCCGGTCCCTTGGTGGAACGAAGAAATTGCGCAAAAACGAAAAAATGCACATAGAACACGCAGAAAGTTTTCGCGTTGTAAACGAAAAGGTGACCCAGATGACCTAAAGAGAGCGCTAAATGATTATAAGAAGGCAAAAAAAGAATTGAGTACTGTTATCAGAAATGCTAAAAGAAAGAGCTGGAATAAACTATTAAACTTCGTCGATAAGGATATATGGGGAAACCCTACACTATGGTGATACGGGTCTTAAGGAACAAGATACTCCCGAAAAAACTAGATAGGGAAAATATCCAAAAAATTGTGAACAAATTGTTTATTACCACCCAAACGATAGGAAGTAGTGATTCCCCTATGGCGAGTACAAGTGATTGCCCGGAGCCCTGTAATGAAACATCGGAGGGCGCTAACGCTGACGTAGTATTTCTTGAGGAAGAAGAGTGCATTACGGAAATGGAAGTAATTGCAGCAGCTAGACGCTTAAAACCAAAAAAAGCCGCGGGACCTGACGGTATCCCATCAGAAGTTGTGAAAAAATAGGTATTTATGCATCTAAGTATCTTAGAACGGTATTTAATACATGTTTTGGAACAGGATATTGGCCAACAAAATGGAAAACGGGCAGATTGGTGCTGATACCGAAAGGTAAAGCAGACGCCTCCTCACCGGAAAAAGCGTACAGACCTCTTTCAGTCATTTCCAGCTTAGCAAAGATGCTAGAGTATATCGTCAAAGAAAAGCTTCTCCGGTCGTTACAGAAATACAATTTTGAAAAAAACCAATATAGCTTCCGCAAAGCGCTGTCTACCCTGAATGCGATGACACAGGTACGCCCGAAAGAAGAGGAAGCATTGCCTAATGGTTCTCTTGGATGTGCAGAATGCCTTCAACTCAGTCACCTGGGAAAGCATTGCAAAGGATGCGAAAAGGAGAAAATTCCCACCAAAACTTAGAGGATTTCTAAATAGCCACCTGGACGACCGATGGATCTCGTATGAGGCTGCAGAAGGTAAGACAAAATTTCAGGTGTACGGGGGCGTTCCGCAAGGCTCCGTCATTGGCCCGCTGTTATGTAACATGGTGTATGACGGCCTCCTGTGCATAAGATTACGAAGAGACGTCTACTTAATTGGGTACGCAGATGACATTGCCATCATCATTATAGAAAAGGACCTAAATAGGATAACGGACCTCGCAAGACTTACCACTCAAGACCTAACTGAGTGGTATAAAAAAGAGCGGTTGGTGCTTGGACACCATAAAACGGAATCTATTCTACTAACGAGCAGAAAGCTGCTGCGAGGCCTGACGATCTGGTGTGAAAATGCGCAGATCCATCAAAAAAGAAAGTTAAATATCTAGGTGTGACTTTTAAAGCAAACTCTACATTTAAGACACACTTAAAAATCGTTACTGATAAGGCATATGAGTATATACATACTCTTTCGCAACTGATGCCCAATACTGCTGGTGCAGGTACCACCGCAAGAACACTCCATTACAAGGTCATGGAGTCTGTAATAATGTATGCCGCTCCAATTTGGGCTAGAGCCATAAAATTTAAGATAAATATAAAGCTCCTACGTAGTACGCAGAGGACCGCGTTACTAAGGCTGACAAGAGCTTATAGGACAACGTCGTTCGAAGCCCTTTGTGTACTGGCCGGTCAACTGCCCCTGGATCACCTAGCCTTGGAGAGGGAAAATATATTTAAAAAAGGGAAACAACAAACCCAAAATGATAACGAAGACTCACCTGAAACATCCGACGAAAGAAAAAAATCCTTAGTAGTGTGGCAGAACGAATGGAACGCGTCCAGTAAAGGTAGGTGGACGTACACCCTTATACCCGACATTAGAGAATGGCTTCTGGGGAGCCCTGAAATTTTAAATTACCACTTGACACAAGTGTTGACATGGCACGGATGTTTCGGCACTTACCTTGAACGGTTTAAGAAACAAAATAATAGTATTTGCTGGTTCTGCCCGGGGGTGGTTGACGATCCAAGCCATTTCCTTTTCTACTGTGACCGCTGGGAAGCAGAGAGAGAGGCACTCAGAGCCCAGACCGGTGGTATCTTTACGATAAATAATTTGATACTTTTAAAAAACCCAGCAACGCAAACATTGGTGGTAGACTATGTTACAAATAACCTGAAAGAGAAAGAAAAATATGAAAGAATGCTTAACAGAACATAACCGAGATAGGGTTATAGGATATTATGGTTAAATGCTAAAGCCGGGTAGCTTATGCGGCCCTCTATTCTCTAGGAATTTTTATATATTCGCCAGAAATATAGTTTGTGGATATTACACTAAATGAGATAGACCAGTTTTCATGTACGTCAAATGCAAATTCCCTTGGAACGGAACTGTAAGTAGAAAAGGCACGTAAGTTTTCAGCTAAACAGGAAAACAGTTTTAATCCCTTTTCACTTTAAGCGAAAATACGAAAACTGTTCAAGGGACACCAAATGTAAAATTCCACATAGATGCAAATAGATGTAAAAAGATGTAAATAGATGTAAATAGATGGATAACATAGTGACAGCTTTGAGTACCAGTTGAAGATAGTGGAAATTATTTGGTTAAATTAGTTTTTATTATAGGATTACTTATAATTATGTTTTGTCTCTTTTTGACTAGACAGAAATTAATTTCTTTCCCCACTGTTTTATTCTTTTTTTCTTTTTTCTTTAAAATACTGACAAAATAGACAAACGCAGTTTTCACTTAGAACCTACTAAGAATCAGGACAGGACGGTTTTGGCTCCCTCCCTTCTAGGGAGAGAGTAACCCATAAAGGAGGAAGTTCAACCACAGGAAAAGAGAGGAGAGTAAAAGTAAATAAAAATATTAGCAAAAGAGAGAAATAGGGTAGAAGCGCTTCTCTACACAATCACTTTCGAACAGGAGAAATGGTCCCGAAAAAGTTAGTAAGCCACAACAGAAATTCCCCTGAAGAAATGCCTAATATCGGTACCGGAGGGCGAGTACGGGCTTCCAGGAAAGTGAAATCGAGGAAGGTTTTTTAGTAGGTAAATCAAGGGAGTCCCACAGTACAGGCTATTCAACATCCAAACCGGTCTGCGTAAGGCATTTTTCCCACTCGTAAAAAAAAAAAGGTATAGTAATAATGAAATGGATATTAAAGGTATATTACATACCTAATGTAGATAAAGTAATAATGATATTGTTATTAAATGTACACTGGTGTGTGAGAATAAATTAGTATGTTACGTAATAGCTAATGTAGATAAAATAATAACAATATTGTTATTAAATGTACATTGGTCTGTGGGAAGGAATCAGTATATTACATTATATCTAATGTAGATATAGTAATAATGTTATTGTTATTGAATGTACATTGATTTATGTGAAGGAATCAGTATATTACATTAGATCCAATGTAGATACAGTAATAATGATATTGTTATTAAATGTTAATTACATATCTAATGCAGATATAGTAATAACGATACTGTTATTATCTGTGCATTGATCTGTGGGAAGGGATCAGTATATTACATTATATCTAATGTAGATATAGTAATGATGATATTGTTATCAAATGTATATTACATATCTAATGTAGATACAGTAGTAGTGATATTGTTATTAAATGTAGGTACATTGATCTGTGGGAAGTAATCAGTATATTACATTATATCCAATGTAGATACAGTAATAATGATATTGTTATTATATGTACATTGATTCTTGGGAAGGAATCAGTATATGACGTTATATAGTAGTAGTTTATTAAATTCAGCCTGATGGCCTAGAATTTGGACTTGGTATTACCTTTTCGTTTCGATTCCATGCATCTTTTTCTTTCGCACAATCATACATCTTTATTATTTCTCAACTCTCACTCGCTTGCGCATTGTTTCTCTCCTGATCCCTTTCTTTATTTACTCTATCTCTCTCCTTCTTTATCATCCTTATCCATTTTATCGCCTCCTTATTCCCTAGATCAGTCAACAGATCCGCTATCCTAATTCCACCTCCCATCCCTCTTTCACATTCCCTCAGCAGGTGTTCGAAGTTTCCCTGGCTCCTGCCACAAAGACTGCAAGTTCTCTTCTCTTCCGTTAGCCAATATCTGTTCTTCTCTTCTTCATTCCCACACCTCAGTCTTGCTATTGACTTGATGTC